GAATTCTGGGCCAGATTTGGCATTAATTGGCAAACAGCATGCGGTTTGACAGAAGTTTACCAAAACAACAGATTAATTACTAAAGTTGTTGTTACCATAGCAACTATAAAACCAAAACAACGGATGAATTACTAAAGTTGTTGTTACCATAGCAACTATAGAACCAAAACCACAGATTAATTACTATAGTTGTTGTTACCATAGCAACTATAAAACCAAAACAACGGATTAATTACTAAAGTTGTTGTTACCATAGCAACTATAGAACCAAAACAACGGATTAATTACTAAAGTTGTTACCATAGCAACTATAGAACCAAAACAACAGATTAATTACTATAGTTGTTGTTACCATAGCAACTATAAAACCAAAACAACGGATTAATTACTAAAGTTGTTGTTACCATAGCAACTATAAAACCAAAACAACGGATTAATTACTATAGTTGTTGTTACCATAGCAACTATAAAACCACCCCAACATATTGATTACTTTAAATGTTGTTACTATAGCAACTATAGAATCACCACAACACACCAATTACTATAGTTGTTACCATAGCAACTATAGAAACACCACAACAGATTGATTACTATAGTTGTTGTGTTACCATAGCAACTGTAGAATCACCACAACAGATCAGCTACTATAGTCGTAGTTACCATTGCAACTATCGAATCCCCACAACACTCCGATTACTAGTTTTACCATAGAAGCTGTAGAATCACCACAACACACCGATTACTATAGATGTTGTTACTATAGCAACCACAGAACCACCACAACAGATCGATTACTGTAGTTATTGTTACTATAGCAGCTATAGAATCCCACCATCACACTGATTACTATAGTTGTTGTTACCATGGCACCTTCTTTAAGGCGGCACACAATACTCGGGCCAGATGTAAAATGTAGTATTTGGCCCAGATGCTAGATATGTGGGCAATGTAAGTTTGGCCGATCTTGTAATCTATGGTCATCTGTGGTCAAACAGGTAAACGATAGAGAAACGGTTTGGTTTAAACAGAACGACCACAGACAGAACGCTCATTTATTCAGCTTCCAGATGATGTAAAATACTAAATATATTGTATTCAAATGATCCAGATGATCCATTATATGATCCAAAATACAGACATATTTCTGTCTGGTTTTGGGGTCTGTGGTCACATTTATAGACAATAAAGCAATTCACACACACACTCTCTCTCTCTCTCTCTTTTTGGCTATAACAACTGTTAAAATAGCATTTTAATTACACAATATTCAATATATAATTATCATGACAATAACCTATATCATGATAAAAGCATAAGCAATTAATCACAACAACAGAATCTGACACCACCATAAGCCTAAACAGAAGACGCTGATGACCACAGACAGACTCAGATTTACTATGACTGACATTTTGTAAACTGCTGAGCTCAGATATAACCTTAAACAGAGCGGATTAATTCAGCAGAGCTGGAGATGCTAAATAAACCAGACGACGGTGTGTGTCAATATCACATGCTCTATAATTCAGCATCAGCATACATCAAACTATCAGACACCGAAACAGCACACTACTGAACTGATCTCAATCTCATAACCATTTAATATATCGTTCACCAGTACAATCTTCAAACATGCATTGCCTTTAAAATCAATGTATTAAATCATTATTATATATGTTTAAAAAATACACCCAAATACACTGTAAAATATAAACAAATCGGTGTAAAAATGTTAAATACAATAAAAAAACTATAGTGCTTACAATAAGTTACAGATTTATTTAATGTGGGGCGACTAAAATAAATAAATAATTAATTTATAGCACGAATATGCCCTTAATAGTGTTCAATCTGGGGCCGTTTGAGGGAATCAGCAGGAACAGCATCTTCAGTCTGATTGGAAACAGCTGGAGTGTGTTTGAGCTGCTGGAATACAATCAAAGCATCGTCAAATGCCCAGATTGTTTTCCCCTGGATGCCTTGTTTTTGTCTCTCAAAGCACAAATAACATATTATTATGATCCCAATGATGTTTAGAGAGTATTATCATTAAAAGCACTGCCAGCAGTGGTTATAATCTGCCAGTACAGATTATTACACTGAAACAGAGCAGAACTGAACGCCTACATACAGCCTTTTTCTTAATCTTAATCTTAATTTAACAGTACAATCATTTATAGTGTTTTCAAGCATACTATAGTGAAGTGCTGTGTGTATTATATTATCGACAACATTTCATGAATTCACTTGTTAACGAATGCTCCAGCATACTGAAGAATAACCTGAATTAAACGAATAAACTGAACTGTAGTTTACTTTAGTTTTTACTACAGTAAACTGTGGTGTGTTGTAGTATAATATACCCTAACTGTAGAAAACTACAGTATTGGGCCATTTGTTTATATTACAATTGATGTTGCGTTACCATAGAAATTGTAGAATCACCACAACCTATCAATTATTTAGTTGTTACCATAGCAACTATAGAACCAAAACAACGGATTAATTACTATAGTTGTTACCATAGCAACTATAAAACCACCACAACATATTGATTACTTTAAATCTTGTTACTATAGCAACTATAGAATCACCACAACACACCAATTACTATAGTTGTTACCATAGCAACTATAGAAATACCACAACAGATTGATTACTATAGTTGTTGTGTTACCATAGCAACTGTAGAATCACCACAACAGATCAGCTACTATAGTCGTAGTTACCATTGCAACTATCGAATCACCACAACACTCCGATTACTAGTTTTACCATAGCAGCTGTAGAATCACCACAACACACCGATTACTATAGATGTTGTTACTATAGCAACCACAGAACCACCACAACAGATCGATTACTGTAGTTATTGTTACTATAGCAACTGTAGAATCACACCATCACACTGATTACTATAGTTGTTGTTACCATAACAACAGTAGAATCACCACAAAACATATATTACTACGTTTGTTACCATAGCAACTACAGAATCATCACAACACACCAATTAGTTGTTGTTACCTTAGCAACTATAGAATCACCACATCACACCTATTAGTTTAGTTGTTGTTACCATAACAACTGTAAAATCACCACAAAACACTACTACAGTTACTTATAACTGTTACCAGTTGTTACCATAGCAACTGTAGAATCACAAAAGATCAATTACTATAGTGGTTGTGTTACCATAGTACTGTAGAATCACCACAAAACATCGATTACTATAGTTGTTGTTACCATAGCAACTGTAGAATCACCACAAAGCACCGATAACTACAGTTGTTACCATAGCAACTACAGAATCACCACATCACACCAATGAGTTTAGTTGTTGATACCATAACAGTTACTGTAGAATCACCACAACACACCGATTAGTTTAGTAGTTGTTACCACAGCAACTGTAGAATCAAAAAATATCGATTACAGTAGTGGTTGTGCTACCATAGCAACTGTAGAATCACCACAAAACACTGATTACTATAGTCGTTGTTACCATAGCAACTGTAAAATTACCACAACAGATTAATCCAAGTATAGCATGTTTTAACAACACGGCAGTATTTACAGTAAATCACCATAGTATTTCTTCATAATGACACTCTTTTTGGAGATTATTAATAGTTCAACAGCGCATTAATGGAGCTCTTACCTGAAGCTGTGGATCTCCGGCACAGAAGCAAACACAGCACTAAAACACAGCAGATGCTCTTCATGTCGGCTGTAGATTCGTCTGTTCTGATGAACTCAACACTCGTGTCTGATGATGATGATGATGATGATGATGATGATTCGGGGAAATAAGCTGAATATTCCAACTTCCTGAGAGAGAAATCAGCATTATGATGACTGGCTGGAGAACACTGACCGCACAGCTCATATAACGGTGCATGCGCATGCTGATTAGGGCTGCAAGACATTAGTTATTTTGTGTTATTGCGATGTGAACACAAATTCATCAGATGACTTAATATCTCTATTTGGACAGAATTCATAATGTTAGATCAATTGCATCTACAAAAAATCTAATAAACAATTTATAAACGTTTTGGGGTCCCCCAACACATTATCTTTGTATTCTGGGCTATTTGCAGTGCGTTTCTGTATTTGTATGTGTTGTATTTTCATGCACGTGTTAAGTCAGAGATTGATAAATTAATATTTACTATTTGAATCTCTATAACATCTAATAAACAATCTACCGAATTTTTGGGGTCCCCCGACCCATTTTTGCTGTGGTCTGTGCTATGTGCAGTGCATTTCTGTATTTGCATGAGTTTGAGTATTTTCATTCAAAACTATCTATAAATACACAACATATATTAATAATAATAGTATATTTAAAAAGCTGCATTGTATTATTCAATATTAATAATCATAATAATAATAATAAAATCATGACTTATAAAAATAATAATAAAATCATAACGTACATAAAATACTGATAATAATAAAATCATAACTTATAAAATATAATAATAATACTAAAATCATAATTTATAAAACAATAATAATAAAGATAATAAAATCATTGACTTATAAAATAATAACAATAAAAATTAAAATATATAAAAAAATAACAATAATAAACCATAACCTATTTGAAAATTAATAATAAGGTCATAACTTATAAAAAAAATAATAAAATCATGACTTATAAAAATATTTAATAACAATAATAATCACAAAATTATAATTTATAAAATAATAATGCTAATAATAATAAAATCATAACGTATGTA